CGAACTGCTGTTGCTCAGAGCTCAAACTCTTGAGCAAGCTCCTAACCAACTGAGCTGCTCAGCCGGCCCTGGAAATCTTTTATTTTTCTTTCTAGCTGAGCCATCCTGCCATCTGTTGGCAGCTCAGCAGCTGCTCAGCTCGGGCCAGGACTTGAACCGCTGTTGCTCAGAGCTCGCACTCTTGAGCAAGCTCCTAACCAACTGAGCTGCTCAGCCGGCCCTGGAAATCTTTTATAATGGCTGAATGAACATTAAAATGTCTCTTTGGTAAAATTAAAAATATTTTCCTCACTTATCTACATTTTTAGTTTTGAAATTCTCACTAATCTGTATCTCTTGTTCCATTTCTAGCTAGCAAAAGTCTATGGCCCTGTGTTCACCGTGTATTTTGGCATGAAGCCCACTGTGGTGCTGCATGGATATGAAGCAGTGAAGGAAGCCCTGATTGATCTGGGAGAGAACTTTTCTGGAAGAGGCGACTTCCCAGTGTTAGACAAAGTCACCCATGGATCAGGTATGCTTCAATTTGGGGAGTGTGTGTAGGTTTGTATAAGTTGCAAAGATTCCAAATAGGCTAAGGAATTGAGAAATTATAAACATTTAGAGAAATTTATGAAACTATCATAATTATGACATTTTTCTATAAAGGATCATTAATCCATATTTAAAATTATGAAGGTGACACAATGTCTCCATGAAACATTAAATCAAATGAGAGCAAACCAATTCACCACTAATGTTCTATGAATCTGTGACTAAGTCATGTTCATTTTAAATTATGGCCTGTTAAAATAATGAGAAAGAGAGAAAAGGGGGGAGGGGGAGGAAATTGACTAAATTATCCTGTTCACCAAATATTTTGTTTTATGTCCTGAGTCATGGTTGCCAAAAGTTATTTTAGGAAGTGTGCATTGCATGCATGGAACCAACATAAGTTTGGAATATTTCCAAACTTGCCTTCAATTTTCTCTTCTTCCAAAACTGCATTAGAAATATTTGAAGGGCCGGCCGAGAGGCGCGATGGTTAAGAACTGGCTTGGGATGCCAGAGGGCCCCGGTTCGGATCCCACATATGAGGGCCAGTGACACTGCCCTCCACAGCTAAGATGCTGAACAACAGCTCAACCTGGAGCTGGGCTGCCATGAGTCGCTGGCGACGGCGTAGGCTGCACTCCCTGTGGCAGTGGGTTGCCATGGGCTACCATATGTAGCCAGCAGCCGCAGTGAGCGGCCGTCCAGAAGCCGGCGACTGATCTGCCTCGCCGGGGAAGAGCGCAATGATGGTGCCAACTTGGGCCAGTGAAGCAACATCCTCCACAACTAGATTGAAGAACAAAAGGACAGCAACTTGTCTGTTCCCCTTCCCCCAATTCCCCAGTACTGTTCCCATCCCCCCAATTCCCCAATAAAAAATCTTTAAAAAAAAAAAAAGAAATATTTGAATTATTCAATAGACTACAAAGCATAAAGCACAAATATGCTCTGAAAAGAGGATTATGGAGAAACACATAGTGAGTATGAATTGGATTTGATATTAGAAAAAGCATTTTAAGTGAAGTACTTGAACTATCTTCCATTTGTTTTTGGAGCTGGTTGTAAACTGGCCAGTTCTCTGGAGGGTCACTGGGTTCCGGCAAAAAGACATGGCCTGAATGCAGTCCTTTCCTCCTGTGCATTGTTCTCTAAGATCTTCCTGGACAGAGGGCAAATGTTAAAAATGAGAAGGGCTATGGCTGTGTTCCTTATATGAGGAATAGGTTTTCATGAGCTCCATTTGCACAAGAGCTGTCTCTCATTCTGTTGATAATTGACTCCATTTGTTGCTGCTCCTAAAATCCACTTACAATGCACAAAAGTCATCCCTGAAAATTTAACCCATGACTTGGACTCACCATAATTTATTAACTGTGTGATCCAAGAGCAAGCATTTTCCCTCCATGATCTTCAGTATTCTCATCAGTTAAATGAGGACAAAACACTTGGTTCATAGAGGTTTAGAGGAGTTAATGGACAAAGAAGAGTTTAGTACTGTGTAAAATTGTAAAACCAAAAGTCTTTACAGTAACATCCTAGGCTGGGTTAAGAGAGAAAACAGGTGAAGTAGGGCTTATTGGGAATTCCTGAGGCTGGCACTGTATTTACCTCTCTGCTGATGTGTCATTATTATTTCCTGAGATAAAGACTCTTGGCTATAATTCATGGCAATGAAAGTTATCCTTCTCTCTCCCTTTTTCACCTGCTTTTGTTTTTTAGCTGAGCCATCCTGCCACCAGTTGGCAGCTCAGCGGCTGCTCAGCTCAGGCTGGGAATCGAACTGCTGTTGCTCAGAGCTCAAACTCTTGAGCGAGCTCTTAACCAACTGAGCCACTCAGCCAGCCTCTCTCCTCTCTCTCTTTTTTGTCCTAATAGGAATTGTTTTCAGCAATGGAGAAATGTGGAAGCAAACCCGGCGTTTCTCCCTCATGGTTTTGCGGAATATGGGAATGGGAAAGAAGACTATTGAAGACAGAATTCAAGAGGAAGCCTTGTGTCTGGTGGAAGCATTAAGAAAAACCAATGGTGTGTATTTCTTTATGCAATTAATGGTAATAGTTTGGGTAGACTACATGCTATTACAAATAGACTACAGAGACGTATGATGGCTCAAGTACAACAGAAGGTTACTTTTTGCTCACATAATAGCAGCAAGAGGTGAAGTCAATTATATCTCTGTAAAACTGAAAAAAAAAAAAGAATTAGTGGTTCAGTGGTAATTCGTGCCAAAACCTTCTCCATGCATAGGGCTGCCTTACAGCTTACCTAGAGGAAAGTGGGTATGATGGGAGGCAGCTGCAGTAGCATAAATCTGTGCAGTGTGTATACATGTGTGTGCACATGTGGGACTAGGAGAGGGGGGTAGAAGAGAAAGAAGTGGGCAGGAGACTTGGCAGGAAAGGAGTAAGATCAGGGTCATGAGATATATGTGGTTTTTAACCTCAATAGTTAAATATTTTCCACGAACGTTATTAACTTCATAATACCATATTCTATATCTTGGATTGTCATCATGTTTTTAAACCAATGTTATATTATTATCAAGTGGGTTGCTTCCCTTTTCTTTTGCTAATATTAATATTAAAACTGCAATTATTACAAATATTTGCATAATTCTGGTTTCTTCCTTAGGATAAATTTCTGGAAATGGTGGTAGAATATCAATGAACATTGTTTGGACTTTTGACACATAATAGCTAGGAATGGAAGGGAGATCTAGCAAAAGAAGGGATAAGAACATGAGGCTTATACTGCATATATTATTCTATAAACTCATGTTTAAATTTAATGTATTAAATAAATATTTTCAGATGTTTAATATTAAATGTTTTTTCTAAGAACATTACTGATAGAATAGTACAGTATCCCATTATTTTGGATGTACCATAGTTTATTTAACCAGTCTTTTATTTTTGGCTAGAAGACTGTTCTCAGTTCTTTGTTGCTACTAATATAAAAACAGTGCAATCCATATTAATCATTGTCTAGCTCTGATTACTTTCTTAGAATAAAATTTTGGAAATAGAATTAGTAAGTTAATGAATGTTGGGTTTCAATACGTGTTATCTGGGAAATTATTTTGTGCATTTAATTTATATTTCAAGCAGAATTTATTATTAACTGGTTCATTTTTTTCTCATAATGAATACAACCTCTCAGTTTCCTGACCTATGATCAATTCCACCTAGCTGTGGGGACCTCACACTCTTGGGGTATCCCATTTTGCCACTGGATAACTACAACTGTTGGAATTTTTGTTCACATGTTGAGCAGAATCTTTTTTCCTTGTAACTTGTACTTTTTGATCCCTGCTAAGTGTTTGCTCTTAGAGTTGTAGTGTTTTAGAAGTTATCACACAGAGGCAGGATGACTGCCCACTCAAAATTTGGTTTAGTTTGTTGGGACTGAAGGTGCCACGCACACCTCAACAGGATATGAAAAGGTTTATTATTGACATAACGAGGCTTTCTGTGGAGGCTAGGGTGGCTCCTAAGCAGATCCCAAAATGGCTTGACAGGGCAGGGTAAGGATACTGGCTTGAGGTTTTTATGGTAGTTAAGGGGTAAGGCAGAGATGAGGGTTCTGTGTGCTGGCCAGGGCTTGTGTGGTTTAAACATCCTACTTGTGCCAAAGGAGAGAACAACTGACCTTTTCTACCAGTTTGTTCAGATGTGAGTAGAAGAAGAAAAGGTAAGGCTTAAAAGCTGTCAGCAGCCAAACATCAAAAAAAGAGTCACACTCTTTATTATAGATATATGGAAAGCCTGTTTCCAATGCTACATTTTTTCTAATATCTGAATGTAATTCCAATTTTTGTCATTACTCTTCTATAAGAAAAGTACAACCAACTTTTTAAAACTGTGTTTTGTAAAATATGATTTCAAGTCTCCTCAGTTTCCTGATTTTCTTATTAAGTCGCTTAGTTTCTTTTGGGCATCATGAAGAAGTATTCACACGGAGAGCTAAATTTTACACTTTCAAAGATACTTTTAAATGACCTCCCTTTTGTAAATTACCTTGTGGCTCTTGGAGAATATTGTAAATGGGAGAATACTTGGGGGGAAATTAATAAATTAGACTGAATTACATGGGAAAGACAATATATATATATTTTTAGGCCTATTGAGTTTATAGTGATGATGGCATGTCCAGGTAGTTCCTATAGTTAAAAATCTTAGAAGTCAACCTTCTCAATTATTTTAAACAGTCAGCTTAAAATGTATATGAAAATTCTGTTCTAACTTTTAACTTATATTGTTTTTAGGATCTCCCTGTGATCCTTCTTTCCTTCTGGCCTGTGTTCCCTGCAATGTGATCTGCTCCATTATATTCCACAGTCGTTTTGATTACGGTGATGAAAAATGGCCAACCTTGATAAAGTATTTTCATCAAAACTTCGAAATCATAAGCACCCGCTGGATACAGGTAAAGTCAAGGTCCTATTTAAATGGGAAATAATTTTTTAATCTATTCCTCATGCCTACCCCATTCCTTTACCCTATTTCAAAATTGCTAATGTTTACCAAACTATCATTTGTAACCACTTAGTGAGTTATCAATCAATTTAATGTGTTTAAATGAAATTTAAAACATGAAATATAGTAATAGAAAGAAAAATATTATATCTAGTGCATCAAAAAATAACAAGGTATTTTTTGAGAAACTTTTTTTCCCTGAGTTGTATATCTATAGATGAAGAGGGTATTGGTGTAAAATGTATCTCTTACTATAGTACACTGTCAGAAAATGTTAGTAACCTATGCTATACAATCATTTACAACTAAAATTCTGTGTGGATCATAAGGTCCTGATGTGTTCCACCTGGGAAGGACCCTGGAGAACAAATAGTCCATTCCTCATTTTTTGGAACAAGAAACTGTCACCAGAGATATTATGCACATTTTCCAAAGTAGCCTAGCCAAGACAAGGAATGAGCTAGACCTAGAATATAGATTTCTTGATTCTCTATCTGATGTGATGCAAGCTACCAACCTGAGTAAATTGCTTCAGTGCCTATCAAGGGCATTAAGTCATGAAGGTATTGTCTAAAGCAGAGTCAGTCAATTCGAGGATTGGGAATGGCCAGGTGAAGAAGGGCAATGTACAAATTCTTGAGGGTGTAAAGTGCCTAAGTAAAAATAAGCTAACGTGGGGTGCCCTGGGATTTTTGTGGATCTACCCGGGCCCAGTACTGGTATCAGCTGTCTTTGGTTTCAGTGTGGCCTCTCCCATGCACCTCTAGGTCCATCACAGGCAGTGACCAACCACGGGTTGCTTTTTAGCTCCTACCAGGTAGTCCCAGGCCAGTCACAGGCAGTGGCTGACCTGGGCCTGCACTGTAGCCCCTCCCAAGAGGCCTCAGTGAACCCAACATATCTGGAGGTCAGCTTCAGACCACAGTGGAGCATCATACAATTAGCCTCACAAGTGACACACCCAAAGGTCTATCTCAGTAGGCACTGGAGCCCATTGGGGCAAATCCCACTCCACAGGGTAAGCCCCCTCCACAGCAGCCCATAAGCTTTGGAAGTTGCCAAACCCCACAGCCAGTCAGCCTGAGGGTCAATTACACCTAATGTGCCAATAGCAATCAAGGCTCAACTATAACAGGAGGGCACACACAACCCACACAAGGGACACCCCTGGAACACCCAGGGCAGGTGGCTAGGGATCCTGTGCCACCGGACCCACAGGGCACCTACTACATAAGGCCACCTGGCTAAGACTGGGGGACATAGCAGATCTATCTAATACACAGAAACATACACAGAAAGGCAGCCCAAATGAGGAAACAAATAAATATGTCCCAAATGAAAGAAAAGGAGAAAACTCCAGAAAAAGAACTAAACAAAATAGAGGCAAGCAACCTACCAGATACAGAGTTCAACACAATGGTTATAAGGATGCTCAAGAAATTTAGTGAGAACTTCAACAAAGAGATAACAAGCATTAAAAAAGACATAGAAACCATAAAAAAGAACCAATCAGAAGTGAAGAATACAATAACTGAAATGTAGAATGCACTAGAAGGAATCACTAGCAGACTAGATGAAGCAGAGGATCAAATCAAGGATTTGGAAGACAGGGTAGCAGAAAACACCCAATCAGAAAAACCAAAAGAAAAAAGAATCCAAAAAAAATGAGGATAGTTTAAGAGTCCTGTGGGACAACGTCAAGCATAACAACATTCACATCATAGCGTTACCAGAAGGAGAAGAGAGAGAGAGAGTAAGGCATTGAGAATATATTTGAAGAAATAAGGGCTGAAAATTTCCCTAATCTGGTGGAGGAAATAGACATACAAGTCCAGGAAGCACAGAGAATCCCAAACAAAATGAAACCAAAGAGGCCCATGTCAAGACACTTCATAATTAAAATGCCAATCAAAAAATAGCCTACTGAATGCAAGATACTTGCCAGTGATACATCTGATAAGGGGTTAGTATCCAAAATTTATAAAGAACTTATTCAACTCAACACCAGAAACCCAAACAATCCAATTCAAAAATGAGCAGAGGGGACCGGCTGAATGACGCATTGGTTAAGAGCTGGCGTGGGACGCCAGCTCTGAGCAGCAGGGCCCAGTCTGGATCCCACATGAGGGCCAGTGATGCTGCGCCCTCTACAGCTAAGATGGTGAACAACAGCTCGACCTGGAGCTGGGCTGCCGTGAGTCCCCAGCAACATGGGCCAGTGAAGCGATGTCCTCCACAACTAGACTGAAGAACAAAAGGACAGCAACTTGTCTGTTCCCCTTCCCCAATTTCCCAATGCTGTTTTGCTCCTCCAATCTCCCAATAAAAAATCTTAAAAAAAAAAAAAAAAAAGAATAGAGGACCTGAATAGACATTTCTCCAAAGTGGACATACAGATAACCAATAGACATATGAAAAGATGCACAATGTCACTAATCATCAGAGAACTGCAAAATGAAACTACAATGAGATATCACCTCACACCTCTTAGAATGGATATTATCAATAAATCAGCAAACAGCAAGTGTTAGCAAAGATGCAGAGAAAAGGGAACCCTCATGCACTGTTGGTGGGACTGCAAAAATTGGTGCAGCCACTAAGGAAAATGGTTTGGAGGTTCCTCAAAAAATTAAAAATAGGGCCGGCCAAGTGGTGTGGTGGTTAAGAGCTGGCTTGGGATGCCAGAGGGCCCCGGTTCGGATCCCACATATAAGGGCCAGTGACATTGCCCCCTACAGCTAAGATGCTGAACAACAGCTCAACCTGGAGCTGGACTGCCATGAGTCACTGGTGACGGCATAAGCTGCAG